AAGGCGGCCGCCACCAACGCTGTCCTCCGAGGCACAGCTCCATGTGCCCCTACCATCACCACCTGCGTTGCCACACCCTGTACCACACCCGCCAGCATCCTCCTCCTCCGTGCCGGTGCCTCCACTACAGACGCTACCTTGCAGCACATCAACAGCTACTATTGGGCCAGCAACCGCTCAAAGACCAACAGCCCCAGATGATCTTGTGGTTAATAAACCCAACCAGGTGAAACTGGATCGTTATCCAGGGAGATTGTTTTCAGGAAAGAAGCGCACTTTTGCCGCTGCATGGTACAACAACAGACCATGGCTTGAATATTCGTTAAAAGCAGACGCAGCCTTTTGTTTCCGCTGTAGACAGTTTAAAGTAAATACGTCTTCATCTGATGTGGCTTTTACTGTCAAAGGTTTTTGTGACTGGAAACACGCATTACAGACTGATAAAGGACTGATAAGGCATGCCGCATCAAAAGAACACATTTCATGTGAGAGCTCGTGGAGAGAGAGAGAGATACGCGAGGAAACAAATAAAGAAATTAGTACTTTGGTGCAGATCAGCTGGCACGGAGCCGTTATTACATGTCAGCTGTCGTTGATATTATAGCTTTTTTAGCCGTCAACCAACTCCCTCTCAGAGGTGACCACGATTCACTCCACAGCATGTCCGAGTCAGGCAGTGGGCTCTTCCTATCGCTGTTTGAGTATATGCTGCATAAAGATGCAGAGTTGGCCAAAATAATGGAAAGCATTCCCCACACAGCAACATACACCTCTCACGACATGCACAATGCCATAATAGAACTAACAGCAGTTCATCGTCTCCGTCTCTACTATTTCTCTCGGAGTGCAACGATGAGGAAGCTGCCATCCTTAACCAGTGTGCCTTGCTCGTGATTTACCAGTGTCTGTGCTGCCACGCACACAATGTTTCAAAAGTGGTTTCTATGTTGCCCTTTATTTGTGTATGTATTTGCGATAAGTGTGCGTCTTTGCGCAATGCTGTTGGCCTTGCTGTTTGATATAAATATTGTGCCGCAGGCCCGCAGCACGTGACGGTGTTGTGTGCCCTCCCATGAAAATCATATGCCCTCCCTTTAGATTTGTTCTGGCGCCGGGTCTGCATATACATATTGTTGCTGTCCCTCTGCCATTGAGCAAGACAATAACACCATAACTGCGGCCATGTGGCAAAGTTGGCTAAATGTGGAACACTGTTGCTGCACCGAGCAGCTCCTATCATGAAGCTTTGAAACGGACACTTTTTTGAATGTTTTTTACATCTTTCGATAGGTATCCCATGCAACACAAATATATAACTCCTGTAATTAAGTATCATGATAAGAATCAGTGATTGAAAAGACAACTTACAGAAGCTAGTGCAAGGTGTTACTTCAACGTTTGCAAGATTAAAGATGTTTAAGTAAGTTCTTGTTTTGCCCTAAGGAACATGAACTGGTTAAGTGTATTTTACTTATTTTTCTTAGATAAGCAACATTTTTTATATGAAATACTAAGTCATTCAAAGTAAAATGTTATGAGTACTCTGCCAAGTTACAACGTATATATAATATCTGTTTACTGCTGCAAAGTAGGCCACATAGCCGGTAGGTATATTCTTGTAGTAATAAGGGTGACGATAACATGTACAGTCACTTAAAGGTAATCTATTTCCAACAAGGCACTCCTTTGTTCAGAGTGGCAAACCAGACATCTTCAAACAGCTATTTCAGAGTACTGCACTGTGGATAATTAGGCAAAAAGTGTCTTAATACTGCAGAGGTTAAAGGAAATAAAAGGGAGAATACCTGGACAGAGATTACTTTTAGGTATTGGAGACTAACCAAAAACTCCCACATACATTGTTTTTCATTTAAACACATTAAATGTGAATACTTAAAGCACTCAAAAAGACCAAGGTGTGGATATTTATGACTGAAAATCTTTTAAAACACTTTTCATGTGACTATTATGTCTGTGGAGACCATTTCAGAACAAGATCTTAATCTATTCTGGACAGAAAAAGCTCTCAGAGACCAAGAAGGATAAGCCTATTCAGAATTAAAATGTTTGCAATTTATAAGTCTATAATTTCCAAACCACCATCTATTCCCAGCTCTGTCTCCCACAGCCGCTGGTATTCTTGCAAACATTCCCCGACAACACAGACAGGAAATCAGCAGCTCACTGTCCCTGCTCCTCTCATGCAGCGGCTCAGCAATGTGCCCATGAAAACCATGTGGGGTGTTGAAACAACATTCGAAGGCTTTCATTAACAAAAAGAGGGGACTGAACTGACCGAGTGACTTCAAAAAGGGTGCAATATTGTAGAAAATACTGAGCAGGTTTTGACTCATGTTGCAGTAGGCTACAGTGGGATAGTTTTACCGCCACAAACATTTATTGGAGGCAACTTTAAAAGAAAACCTAAAACAGCTGAAGTTGTCACGTGACTGTGAATTCTTTATTTAAGCTGAATTACATTAGAAACTAGTGACACTGTCAAAACTATTCAACACATTTCCAGACTAGAATGAAGGCAGACAAAGTTTTTGAAAGGCTATTTTTTATATACTGGCAGCAGACCATTTTTATTAAATGTGTTTGCTAGGCTAATTTTATCCATTAGGCTACTAGCAAGACAGAAGAATGCCGTGTACTGTATGTCCTAAATAGTAAAGTCAAAATACTCAACTCAACATTGTCGTTCTTGACTCATATTTTTGTCATGCCATAACAGACACAAATTGTGTGTCGATGCCAAAGAGTTGTGTTTTACTTCCTCCTCCAGTGATTTCCTTTTTGGAAACGTTTTGCAACATGATTTGGAAATGGTTCCCTCCATGTGTTTCCTGGTCACACGGGGAAAGAAGAACAAATGGTCATTTTAGGTTGTGTGACAGTCAATGATGGTTTTAAAATAAAAACAATATCAAGTTTTTAGGTTTAAACAAGACTTTTAGTGTACAGCCATGCCTGTCAGCCAGGTGAAGCTAAATGCTAATGTCAGAATGCTTACAATGTTAATGAATGCTTAAAGTGTTAATGCTATTATATTTGCCATCTTTCACCATCTTGTTTTTCTTTCTAACATTTATAAGTAGGCTACTAAACACAACTGAGGCTGAAAGGAAAGTTATTTTTTGTAAAGTGAGTGACTGAAAAACATTACCAGTAGGACAGCCTGCTGCTAGCATAGCTAAAATACTTGAAAAATAACTATACCAGAGATGAAAACTCTAAGAAAGATCCATTTAAATCCATACAATATTTACAACTTGTGATGAAGTGATCAACACAACTTGGTTGAAAGTATTTTATTTTATATCTGAGGTGCAATATGCAGTGTCACATTAAGCACTATGTTAAAATGCACAGCGCTAAAAATAAAACTTCAAACATCGCAAAATAAACTGGTAAGACTACTGCTTGACCTTTCATCTAGAACCCACCTCACCTCTGCCCACTTTGACAACCTAGGATGGCTTAGAGTAGACGACAGAGTACAGCTACTTGCAATGGGCCTGGTCTACAAGATCCACTACACCTCTATGGTACCCATGTACATGTCAAAATTCTTCCCAAAGGTCAAGGAATACCATGATCATAACACCAGAGGGAGCTCCACAAATCATGTGAAACCCAGATTTGGCACAAAAAAGGGGGAATACACGTTTCGCAATTATGCCACATCAAGGTGGAACGCTCTTCCCACAACTGTAAAGGAAAGTAAAACTATACTTACCTTCAAAACCTCTCTTAAAGAGCACCTTCGGGGGAGAGCATTGCAAAACTGGCCCCGGTAATGGTACACATCTCAACCGGTCGTTCAATGGACAGCTTCCCCCCCCCCCCCCCCCCCCATCTATGTATATACTCGCATTTTAGACTCTGTTACTAACTGTATATCTGTAGACTTGGTATGTCTTAAATGTCCGGTTAGGATGTATTAGAACGAAATCTAAAATGAAAATTGTAAATAAGCCATCTGTATGTAAAAAACCACCTGTATGTAAATTGTAAATAAGCCATCTGTATGTCAAATATGTCTTATATGTCTTAAATGATATGATGAATTGGAAATGGGGGACCCTGGTGTAAACAAGACGAAAGTCTTTCTCTGGTCTGCATCCCCTTAACAATTGTATGTTTTGAGCTGTATGCCTACTGTACTGTACCCAATATACAAGCTGTTAATACAATTTTCAATCAATCAATCAATCAACAGTGTAATAATCTATTTAATCGCAACTCTTTCCTGTTTGTTCTGAAAATATGACATCCATTAGCAACAGCCATAAGTGGGAAAAAAACCTTTGAGCCCATAAATAGAGAAACAAACAGCCCTTCGAGGCCAGAGATAAGCCGCTTTTCAGTAAATCCTAATGAAAAGGAGGCCATAGGGAGATAGAAAAAAAAATCAGAGAGAGATTACAAGACAGAACATGGCGTCCGTCATCACTCACCCAGCGCATTAAAGGGCGGAGATATAAGGGCGCTAACAGCAATAGCAGTCTGTATTCAATAGCAATAGCAGTCTGTATTCAATAACCAGGCTACGGTAGCATTTTAATTGTTAGTTTTTTGGGCATGGCAGGTATCTGTGGTCCATAGAGTTGATTGCAAAAAACAAGTTCAATATCATAATCCAAACAAGTAGGCTTTTAGTGATAAGAGAGGCTTTATAAACAAAAGTCAATTTTTTTAAAGAGTGGAGCAGATCAAATTGGATGCAGATGCAGGCTGTCTTGGATCTGAGATATAGTGAACACAACAATATAGCTAGCTGTAGTTAGCTCCCTTGCTTACAGTATTGCCACAGGAGTGGTCAAACAATAGGTGAGTCGGTCGGCTGGCATTAAAATAAAATTCCTGTTTGATTTTTCTGTTTCCCTTATGTACTGCTCGAGGAACGTCATTTGCCTTTTTATGCATTAAGAAAAATGGTGATAAAGAATGTTTGAATAGTAGACAAAAGTTCATAGAAATACACAAAGCAAATATAAAATCGGAATATATTTATTGAGCAAAAAGCAGCAGCAACGCATTATATATATGTTCACAGGTTGACCTTGCAAGGCTCAAAACCTTCCTCTTCCACAAAAACAGTATGATACTTTTTGAAACAAAAACATATCTAAAGTGCTGAATTGCATCTGATGAAATTACAGGATTTTTCTATTTTACAGACTGTCGAAAATTGTGTATAATAGTTATTATACACAATTGAGCTTCACAGTCCTGGTTATGTTTTACACCTGCAGCTGCAAATTTCACCCATTCCTGGATAATTTTTTTAACAAAACATTTCATTAAGGCCTTCCCAAACATCTAAAAAAAACAAACATCTGCAGATCCTTGCTTAGTTTTAATTGATACGTCCACGTCTATCCCGAGTGTACTTTTATGCCACATTGAGAGAATTCATTAGATGTTTAAATAAAACAAAGGAAAGGAAGCCCCCACTTCCATCCCTCATAATGCACCTCCTCATCCACATTTCCCCCCCCCGTCCCTTTGTCTCTGTGGCTCAGAATCAGGCCGATTTTGGTGACGCATCACTGGTTAGCCAATGGGTGCCCAGAGTCAAGGGTTGTGTCCTGAGCCTAGCATCACTGAAACGGCAAAGTGGGATATTTGCCCAGTGATGTTCTAGTGGGGGGGTGAGGGGGAGGAGGCGTGGGCAGAGGCACGTGGCGCCCAACGAGGTCTCAGCCTGTCACGCGACATCACATCAGACGGTGAACAGGCATGCGCACTTTCTAAACTCTACGCCCTGCAGGAGAAAGCAGGACATGCAAAAATGCAAAAACCAAGCCGCCTCAAACGTGTCCATGTTGCAGGGGAACATCCTTCAGTTGCATCGTCTTACTACATGCTTGAACAGTCTATCTTTACGCTTTCCTTAAAGCCTACCGTCGGTAATCCAATCTCTAGTAAAAACGACAACATGCTGATAAAGTAAAAACTGAGTTGTTGAGCATTTTCTCCTTACACCTTGAGATTCCTTCCTCTACTACCTTTATTGCACCAACCCTCTATTCTGGCACTCAAACAAAGCCATCTCTTAACCACATTTTTGCAAATTCACTATAAAGTTGGGCTTGCATGTGCAGAGGGTTCGCTAACCGGAGAAAGAAAAAAAAAGAAAAATACAGCTGCAGGCCCCCGTGCCAAACAAGGAACTGTTTAAACTCAACTTCAGAGACAGACTTCATTTTGTAGAGAAACAAGAGTTTGTTACTGATCAGAGTTAGCAATCAATATTTTCCACTGTACATCTCAAAATATTCACAGCTTTATTAAATCATTACAAAATAAAGTAATAGTCATCATAAAAACAGGATACTTATTCATTTTGCATTGATTAAAAGTCTGCACAAACATGCAATGTTCAGTATAGTTAAATGTTTGCATTAACATGTAGCAGATTGTATTGCAGGAAGGGTTCTTAACCAGGGTGCTTATTAAGGTCGTCACACATCATTTTAACAGGACTTCATTGAACTGTTTGAAATCACAGGAAACAAAAACCATTACAAAATAGGTAGTGAGTAGTTTGAAAAAGCAGTTCAAACTTTTCTGCACTTTAGCACAACTATTCACTGAATTTCTGACACCTGGCAGATACATTTCACAAGTATATCATATTGACAATTTGTGAATACGGATCCCTATCTGTTCACAAGGTTCTCTCATGAAGCAAAAACCAAAAAAAAGGTTGGGCTAATTTTTATCCCCTTTAAAACATGGGTCTGCCATCACTTTGTTACAAGGTACATCTCAATTGCAGTCAGCCTTTCCCTTACAAAGACGACATTATCGTTCATCATTTAACCCCATTTGGTTCAGCCTTTGAGCAGAATTCAGTTATAAGAGTATTTTTCCCTTTTTGTAGCTCAGAACAGTATTGACAGCATCTTGCAAGCATGTTCCTTTGTAACAACTAACGGTCAGACCCAGTTGGCAGTCAGCTGGTTTTGATCAACCCCCAAAACCAGTCCATAAACCAGTCCTATCCATAGCCTCAAGTGATCCATCCCCAAACCCCCCCCCCCCGTATGCAACTATGACTGAGGTCAGAAAAGTGTGTGGTCCTGGAAGACGCCGCTGTGTCTCTGCGGCGTCTTCCCACCCCCCCACCCCCATCTCGCTCCACCTCCTTCGCTTCTCATTGGCTCATCCATCATCTCTATCATCAGAGCAGCCGTGTGTTTTCAGGGCGCAGGCTGGACGTGGACCTTCTCAGTCATCTGTTTGGCACTGTAGTAGGACAGACTCAGGCCCATGATGGCCAGCATCATGGCGATCTGGTTGACGGCACGGTCTTGTGGCTGCGTCTGCACCTCACCGGCAACTTGCCTCTGCAGAGATGAAAACAAACAGGGCAAAGGTTAGAGGTCAACCAACGGTGGAAACAAAGACCCATTCAAAAACGGGTTGCTTGACAACAAAGATGCCGAGGCCAGATTGGTCAAACCTGTAGAAAAGCAAATATTGTGCTAAAAAGGCATCTCCCTTAGAGAAAAAGAAAACATCTGCCACTTGAGTTCAAACGCTCTCTGTCACGCGATCCAACCTTTGGCAGAAAAAGTGATTAAACATTTAGGAGGGGGAGAGACTTTAGCAATAGGGAACACAATGTTCTGTCCACAACATAAAGTATAAGAAGCAAAACATGCACCCAAAATCAATCAGATTGTGGTGTATAGAATGACTGCCTATATTAGATCAGGTCTCTAAATGCACAGCTCTTCTTGCCCGTAGGACCGCTTGGCCTTAAGCAGAGAGAAAGGGTCAGCATTAATAAAGCTGCCCATACTTACAAATATCCAATTCATCTAAATACATTATACCTAAAGACACACAAGCAAAAAGCCGAGGTGATGTTTTCAGATTACATGGTAGGTTTGTTGATCATAAAAAATATATATCTTTAACTAATTATTTGATTATATGGATATTGTTGGAAACATTTGCTGGCAACTTTTATATGGATGGAACACTTTTTGCAGAAGTTTAGCAAACTCACCTACTTATTTTTTCCAAGAGATTTTAATGTAGAGCACAATGTGAAACTGGACATGATAGAAGTGCAAAGAAAAGCAGTCCTTTGTATTATACTCCAATAACTATACGGCATCAAAGAAAAATGTACAGTCGCACCAGGGTGTCAAATCTTATGTAAGAGCCAGTCACTTTCTACGGCCTGCTGCGCTTTTGAGTCAATGCAAAGCCATATGAGCAGACACCCTTTGTCTCCAAATTAGTGTAAATGAGCCAACAAAGACTTTACACAATGGTGGCGACATATGGCGGGTCACTACCGATGAGTAGATTATGGTGACAGTCGGAGGAACAAAAGAAAAGTAGGGGAAATCATTTTTAGTGTCACCCCTAATTATACTAGTGATGAAAGCAAATTGTGGGTCACAGACCCTTGTCTGAGCAGTGTGCATAATTATGTGTAGTGTTAATGCCTCCATAAGCAGAGTATACATTTAATGGGACTGTTAACAGAAACAACACAATTGGCCAAAAGTGAACACGAGGCCCGTGGAGCTCTAAAGCGAGTATTTAAACCCTACGTTACTCATACAGATGGCTCTGTGGAGATTAGTGATAGTGTGCCAATATAAAGCGACACAACAGAGACTACTTCAAATACAGTTTGTACATTTCATTCATTATCAACATTGTGGTGAAGCAGCACATACCTGGAGGAGGCGGAAGTATCCAGGTGTCAGTCTGCCCAGTCTGATGATCATGTCTGTTGATGTGGTGTGAGGTTGGTCGAAACAGAGGGAAGAGCTAGGGGGGGCTCTTAAGACCTGCAATGTAAAGGGAGAATTCACTAAGTAATTGAGCCTCAATCTGACAGAAACATTTGTGTTTCCATTTAAGCAATACAGCTAGTACATAATAGTCATCAGAGACGACTGTGAGTTACTAGTATCCAAGCATTGCGCAACTTCTATAGAAGCAGCAGACCCAATCTCCTTTCCTTGCCAAACATTGAATTGAGTTCTTCTGCCAAAACAGGAAGAGAACATTGACTTACAAATGAATGAAAACCATCTGATCCATGCAATGGGAAGGAACATCTCCAGCCATGGCACAAAGCGGCCCAATGTGTACGGAAACACAACTTATACCGACCGTGTGTTAATACATTTATTTTAGCGCCGATTACGTTGCTCACCCGGAATGCCCCTTAAACCCCATGCTTATTAAATTATTATTTTTAACCAAACTAACAGTGCCTCTATTCATGCTACGCCATGACATGAAGCAGCAAAGGAAACAACAATTGCATTTATTCACACATGAAAAGTCCCATCAATAGATGAAAAAGGAGTGTTCCACAAATGTTGGACTATCCGAGAACGAGCACCAAAGAAAAGCATAAGGAACGATGGATGTCCAACCATGATGTTAAGAGAACAAAGTAACCAACAAGACATGATTTAACTTTTTCAAACTGGTGCAAGATTTGGGAAAGAGTCGCATCGAAAAATGTGTCGCAGAAAGACAAGAAGAAGGAGATGAGGTTGTGCCTTGCAGAAGCAAACCCCCAGGTCATAAACGACGACCAGATAAATCCCTTTCAGGTATCGACAACTGCATTTGTGGTAAAGGTTTGAGGGAAGGCGAGGACTGAGGATCAGGTTTAAACATAAGGGAAGCATTAAAATCCCTACCTGGTTGGAGTTGCACCCTTTACGAGGAAAGACACATTTAATCCAACCTTCAACATCCTGAAAAGTTGGTCTTGTTCGACAAAACCCAACAGGTTGGGATTCCTCACCTTCTAGGTCGTTTGATGGGGAGAAAAAGCCCAAAACAGAGCAGCAGGATCTTTATACTTCCCAGTCACGCTAAAAAGATCCTGACAGATGCCAAACAGAGTGATGAACTTGAACTACTGAGAGTTTCTGTGCTGCGCTCCGCCTTTTTATACAGCTCCGCTCTCACCCAACCAGATCTACGGGCTCGGCTTCAGCACACACCCACATGCTGTCGAAACACATTACTCTCAGTGGGTCGCTTTCCCAAACACACCCCTTCCCTTCTCCTTCCAAAACAAGAAAAACACACAAAAGTGATTTGCTCAAGGTAAAGGGGATTATAATTTAAAAAAACAATACAGCGTGACAGTGCCTTCCTAAAGCAGCATGCGTGTCAAAGTGTAGCATTACATAACCAGAATGGTGTGCCCATTTATTCTAAAAAAGGAGCAGAAATTAATGTCACAGATCTCATGACTCCAACAAGAACACAACAAACCTCAAGATTGGAAACACGGGACAATAGAGTTCCTCTTTTTGAACCGTTCTCTTTTTTCGTGCGTTTAGATTGCTCAAATGGCTGAGTGTGTTATATAATCTGTTTCCATGTCATTTAACAACTAGATGCACTAGCTCTTCATACATGCTTGAATGATTGAGACAAAGCAATGTTTACATCACGCAATTTGCGTTCTCACTAACATCCACATGGATTTGTTAGTGATGGGCTGTAACTTCAATAGAGCATCAAATGATCCCAATATTTGGGCTTCAGGAGGAGTTTGGTCTCATCTTGAGCAAAAGACAACACAAATCATCTGCTCCAAATTAGCATATATACATTATCTAGCACTTCTAATTTCATTGTTCATGAAGAACCAAATATGTCACATTAATAGCAAAGGCCAGAGCATTTGTCTTGAACACTACAATTATGAAATTGTGTCCACGTTTGGAATTTGAGTCTAAGCAAGTGTACTATAATCCAATATTGCCTCAAGGTGCTGTCAACCATTTACCCTGCATCTTTGTGTTTGTAGAGACAGCCATGGGAGAAAAAGAGCGGCTAACAGTAGTTACCTGAGGCTCATTTAAAAAACATTTCAGAGAGCAATTAGCCGTGTTAAGGTGCGCAGGCTTGTTGCGTAGGTTTCCAAAAGACAGGGGCTGCGGTCGAATAGTTCATTTAGCTTAGGAACCTTCCTAATGGAGTGAAATGACCCGGAAGTCCCTCAGTGGCAGCCATGATAAGTGCCGTTCCAATTCTCCAAATGAAAGGAAAGGAGGTTTCAAACTTCCTTTATAACCTCCTTTAGCTTAGGAACCACTGGACCTCCCTAACCGAAAGGAGAGGAGAAAATGCTGCCCCACAATGCCTTGCAGCCGCAGCATTTGCCGTCACTCAACAGTCGGCCGTTCACGGACACAAACGATTATGACGGAGAAATTATATCATGAAAGTTACGGTGCTTATTAAGCTTTTTGAAACGGTAAGTTGCCAAAGTGCTTCATTTTGAATGTTCATCAGTATTATAATCAAAAAGAGAAATATGAACGTTAGTTTTTACTGAAATTATCAAATAAAGTCAACATCTCACAGTCTTTACTGAGCTGTGTGGGGTTTGTTCAACTTTTAAAAGATGTTTGAATGGTGATATACACAGTGATAGATGTTAAGGACTAACGTTTATAATAAATACATTTGTATTGATTTTAAGATCTTTTCATAGTTCATACGTATTGGGATCATTTGTATAAATGTGGACCGGAGGGAGAGGGTGACGAGCATAAGTTTCACTTTCCTTTTTTATTTAAATTCCAACTTTGGTCATGAAGAATATGTTTCTCTGTTGTCCACGTTCATAAAGCATAAAGCAACAGCATCAGGGCACGGTGCAGAGTCTAGATGAGTTTACAGTAGTCCCTCGTTCTTATTAAACATCCATGTTGTAGTCCGCTGTATAGAAAACTGTAGTTTCCATAGTTTCCCCACAGCAGCAGACGCACATTCAGGACGTCCGCTGGCGCATCATAAACACGTCGGATAGTGAAAGTGCATTCGGATTCTCTAAAGTACCGCGGTCTCTTCTCCTAAGTCCTTTTGAATTCTCCTATCCACTATCCCTTAACCCCGTGACGTTTCACTCAGAGGTCAAGGAATAGGAGATAGGGTTAGAACTTAGGAGCTGATTTTTTAAACTATCCGAACGCAACCAGGGACAGCTCAGGGAAATATGTTTTACCTACTTTACAACAAACCCCCTTTTCTCCAATGTTCGCATCATGACAAGATAACCCTAATCCTTATGTGCATAGGGGACAACAACAACAAGCCTTCAGTCTGAATGCAGTAAATCCTCACTGGCAGCTGATTCAGTATCTGTGTCAGTGTTTAGGAGTGGCTGACCACATGCTTCGGCAGGAGGCCAGGTGAATCACCTGTGAACTATTCTGGTTTACCGGAGGCCTAGCATAAAAGCAAGAGGGTGTTTCCCTATGTGCATATTACTTCAGTTAATATTTCAAAATACCTGCAGCAGACGGACTCAATGAGTAACAGAGGAAGATTTTGGTCTGGCGTTTGCGTTCTGGCTAAACTTCTTCGTAGGCTACTTCCTCTCAAAGGAAAAGCTTCTTGATCTTCAGTGGTACCACCTTGGTCTAAATCTTATTTACTGAATGAAGAAACAACAATGGCAGAACCATTTCTAGCAGGAGAAGCTGCAAACACAAAGAGGGCTGGGCCATGGTTTCTTTAAATTAATCTCTCAGACTAAATTAGGCCCAAAGACATTTACTAGGTACACCATCTCAATTCCAAAAAGCCAATGAAATGTCATTGGTTCTCCTTTGCTCCTCTCTTGGTCCCGCCTTTCCATGTCACTCTCCCTGCAGCCCACGCCCCTGCCTGCAGGAGGGTATCTCCTGCGAGTGAGTGTGGACGACAGCCGTGTGAAAGACTGATGCATCAGAAGCTGCAGCACAACCATCGACAAAATAAAAATCTCCTGCTGGGCAACAGCAGCCAAGGATTACATCATCATCCAAACTAGTTGTGCAATCGCTCGGCATCACCAGCTGCACACACGCAACATTCATGACCCTGGCATGTACACAACTGTTGCCAAGGTTTCTCTGCTTCTGTGGTTTCTCCTTCCATGTGCACACGCTTGTGTGATTTGATACTGCAACTGGAAACTGCTAAGCGGAAGGCTGTGTGTGCACATGAGTTCTAAAATGAATATTAGGACTTCAAACAGCCAGAGTCCATCATCACAAATGGACTAGGATTGTAGTAACACTTCTGTATTACCTCCCTCTCTCTCTGTTGTAGTTTCTGCTGACCGGGAAACGTAAGGCGGGTCTTTGTTCCAGCATGTAATTTGCTCTCACCAGAATATGACAAGTCTCGCTCGGCCAATCAGCTTGCAAAACCAATTTCAGCACATGGTTTAACGAAGTGTGCAGCTAAAACATTTCACTCTCTGCGCACCTTGCATCAACCTACATACTGTGTATAGTATACCAAAATGTGAGCAGTTTACCATGTTGGTTCAGCACCGGTCGCAAAACACACTGTTCAGACATACAAAAACACTTTGTTCCTTGTCAAGAACGGAAGACACCAAAAGGTTGCATACACATTTGTATCAAATAATTAGGGCTGTAAGTAACTACAATTAACAATCTCAATATGAATCATCCAGTATTACATTCCATAAATAACATCTCAGAAAATGTAGAATAATTCAAAAGAACTGTGGCAAGTTCTCAAAGCACGAAGGTCAGAAACTAAATTAGATTATCCAAAAAATTGCATTTGATCAACTTCCCCCATTTTAGCCAACACATTTTAAAGACACAAGACCAAATAAAAGGGATGGTCAGTATTCAGATTAGTCTTCCCCATAGCAGCCGTTGTACTCAAGAGGTACTTGACAATGTCACCCAAGACATGACCTCCATTTTGGGCCCCATGCAGCTGTGAAGAAGAAACATGGCTGGCACAAAGAAAAACTTGCATTTGGGAGGGTACAGGATTTAAGGAAGCTTTTGTCAATTAAATGAGCCAGATCTCTTGCAAATTAGCATTGAAATAAACTGTTTTCCCTCCTGCTGGTAAAAGCCATTCACTAAGCTGACACATTGGTGTTAATCAATCAAGGTGAGAAAGTGACCAAAAGTACAGACTTGAATCCAATCAGTGATATGCAGATTGAGAAAAGCTGACCAGACAGCAGTAAAAAGCAGTTAGGTAAACATAGGTGGATTTCTGTGCCTAAAAGTTAATTATACAATCTTCAAAATTCTAAATGCAATGCACTATATTTGATTATTCACAAGCTCAAACTGGCTGCACTATCAAGGAGACAGCGTAAAAAACTGTGTGAGCGGCTAGGGTACAAAATGTGCAGAAACTTGCCACGCACAGACTTCATAAAAAAGGTCAAAGAAGGTCTATCTGATTTTATAAAGGAGGCTAAATGACAAATCACTTTAACATGAGTCCATTTAAAAATATTTGCAGGATTTCTGGCTGCAAAAAGCAACAAACGCCCTTTTAGATATTTAGCTCACACTTGCCATTTTTACCATGAAAAGCATCATTAAATACATTAAAATGACAAAATGTTCCCTAATGGACATTTTTTAAATCAATGCATTTAAACCAAGCAGTCACACTGCCAAAAAGGACAATTTGTTCAAGAAACCAAAACATATCCAATCTGATCCCAGTCAGCTAAATAATACACCAGAATGACCTCCTTGTGTTCACTTTTATAAATACACTAACTTGAATATTCAATTTATAAATGGCAAACATTTTTGGGGGTGTTTTCCATGGATGTATAATGGTGTTTTCCCTTTAAATGTCATAGTTCCCAAAAGCCACATCAGCGAGAATTTACTCATTTTTCTTTTAACCAAACAGCTAAATTCCAGTTTTAGTTAGTGCTTTTCTTAAACCTTTGCCAAATCAAACACATATTCAAGTTTTACTTAAGAATATACAGCTTAACACAAGTAAAAACAGCACCCAAGAGACAAAAGGCTACATTCCTTTAAAAATAATAATTAAGAAACCGGTGAGGAACAAGCTGTGGACTCTTGCGCCTCACCCACCGGTAACGTTTTTTTTTATTTTTTTAAATATGCAATATTGTGAAGTATTTCAAAAATTATACTCCAGTTAAAGTATCAAATTAATAAGCTAATTGCTTGCCTGCACCTGCACCTGGTTTCTGGACGGTTTGGGGGATGTTCAGTCTGCGTTTGGCTGGAAAGTACAGTGTGTCCACGATGTCAAGTCTTTATAGGAGGCCGGGACATGTTTTATGTGCACGTGGGGGTGGGGCACTCTGAGTCCTCCAACACATACAATGCATAGTTCATGTGAAATACACAGAACCCCACGTCTGGGAGAAATGGTCTCGTCCACGTTTGGTGCACACATGTTAGCGGATTGCTGGCAGTTTGTCACTTCTTGCTTATTTTTGTCACGTAACGTAAAATACCAGCAGGTAGATATTCTACCTGCAAATGTCACGTTCACACTTTGGATGTATGTATGTGCCTAGATAAAAATAGCTAAAGTACATTATTGTATTTATAAAGTTGAACGTTTAAGTCTTGTGAAAACAGGTATGTACATTTTTTATTTAAACATTAAAGTGGGTTGATCTTTGGGGAGACATTGTTTTGAAAAGTTAGTTAACTTAGAAGGAAGGTCAAGAACCGCTGCAAAGTGGATCTTGTGGTGAGATGTAAGCAACATTTAAACAAGTGAATTACAGATTTGTAGAGAGAAAAAAGTAATGTGTTACAGAATTTTATTTACAACTGTATTCACAAAAACAATGCACAACATGAACCACAGTTTAGACAAAAGGAGGGGGATTAAATACATCACAAATAGCAGATACAATTAATAAATATATAAAAAATGTGAATTATGGTATTCTTTTGTTACATTTCTCATGTTTGAGACAATCTTACAGGCTTCAAGTAATCTTTAGCAAGTATTTGAGGAATTTCGGTACTTTCACAAACCTCATTGTGTATTTATTAAAAAGTGATATATTTGAACATGATGATATATCACAATCTGCAATAAAAAGCAGCAAACTCAATGATTTGAGCTGGGGGAAAAGTATCAAAACAAAACGCGTCATTTTGGACCTACTTTCCCAGCTGTAGGAGTTAAAGGAGAGGGAGCCCCCCTGTGGAATGAGGATTATTATCCCACGTGTGAGCAGCAGCGCAGCACTGACCTCTACTGCTGCTGCGACGCAAAGACACTGAAGTGGAAGTCATCTCAGGACATCTAAATTAAAATACAGGATATTATGGAGGTATTTACAGCTGAATAATTACCTTTTTAGGCACAAGTGACATTGAATGAAGTGTAAATAGTAATCTGTTGACACATGCAGTAAAACTACATTATTTCTCGAGTCCCAGTACTAGTTTTATCAAAGTAATGTTTCAATTGCATGACTTGATGTGATGTCTTTACATTTTGGTTTTACTTGGTGAAAGGATCGATCATTTATCTAAAATGTTCTGGTTATTCATTTCAACATGCCTCCACTGCCAAGCACATTTATAGAATAGAGCCACTTAAGACAGAGGCTTTCATAATATATAAATGAGGTTGAGAATAGAAGTTGAGCAACAAAACTCAACGAATAGACTGTATAATAATTTAGAAATGCCTAACAGGAATGGTCCTCATACATAATTAATAAAGCTATTCATGTCACAAATCAGTGAAGTCAAGGAGACATTTTGACAATTTTTATTGAACAACATTTAGATCAACCATTTAAGTCAGAAAAGCTTCAGTCAGGACAGAAACATAACTTAACAGGACTTTTCATCAGATGACTGGGTTCACATCATACATGTTTTTGGGATGTATCAATCTTTTTGACCTAACAGTATTTTTTTGTGGTGTTTGACTGACTGGAGCTTGTGTCAACATACAGTGCATCAAAACATTTGGTAAGCAATTTATTTTATTAGTTTTACACTAGAATACAAGGAGATAACGGCAAAATTCATATTCTCCATCAAATTTTAACAATATGCTTTAGCTGCCTTAAAATGTTTAAAATTAGATTCGGATTCCAACTTGTTGGAAAATATCTATTGTTCAGCAGTAACAAAAATAAAACAAAAACGGATTAGACAAACTTTATCTGCCACGTCTACAAGATATGGACGGTAATCGTTTTTAAATGGATATAAAATGGATATGAATGTGACAACAAACGTTTTGTTACATCAAGTGCAAGTTCAAAACAAACCTATAAATGACATTTGTAATATAAAACTTGGTAAAAAATACTTATTTAAAACTGTACAATCACCAAGTACACAGAGTGAGCTCATAGTTATTCATTTGGCTTCAGTGGCTTCGGCCTTTGGCTCCTGGGGGCAGAAAAGAGCAGCATGTTAAAGTATTTCTTGACTCGTCAGGATGAAAGTACATTTCTCTCTACTGTGACCCTTATCATGACACGAGTATCTCCATTTCATCTCATTTAGGATATGCCCGCAGGATCATGAAGACAAAAACATACATTCAGATCATTTTATTGACTAATAACACAGGAAAACATGTATTGACAGAAATGTGTCCCCAAAGAAACTACAACTTTGGAGTTTACAATCCAGTCTGTTTTTCCGTTTATAATTATTTATGGCTCACAAAAACACCCATGTGTAGAGGCATACTTCTTTTTAAATATCTGCATTACTTTGATATTAGGGAAACATTTAAAAGTGTAGGTATTGAGAATCCTTCAAATAATGGAATAATTTCTTAATATTACTATTATTGTCAATTAACATTTTCTACAATTGCCCTCATCCCCATGACATGGTTGATAGGGTTATTTGTGTTATACTTACCTACCCACTATACATTTAGAAATAAACTGTGTTTTATTTGTAAAATAGCACAAAAACATTGTGTTGGGTAAGACTTCATAAAAGAAACAAACCTCAGCCTTCGCGCTCCCATTCTCGGCTACCTTGGTCTTCTTCGCTTTGGCTGCCTTCTGCAAACAACATGACAATTGTTTACTCACAAATGACAGCTTTCCAATTTACTGCACAAGCATCACAAGTTAAGAAAATGTAGAGTACCGAAACATCTTAATTGTTTCTCATAAGGACTTTGCGTTTTCTCAAAACTAGGACACAGATCATTTCCCTTCAAGGGACTTGAGACCATGAAACAGTGTCACATGTGACATACAGCATGCAGAGGTGTGTTGTTGAGATTTGTTTGTGTAATTATATCATACCTTCACAACAGGCTTCTTCTTTACCTCCACTGCAGGTTTAGCTCCCAGTTTCTGCAAAACAAAAAGACATGTACGTAAGTGACAATTGATCACACACAGGAACATGGGCTACAATGGAAAATAATAGGTGCTGACCTCAACGGCATCATTAGCTTTTTGACCTTTCCTCAAAATAATCCCTGTTTACTATTGTATAGAAAAAACTAACAGATTTGGATCAATTGATAGTGCAGCAAGTTTGTGCAAGGCCAATAGACACCAATGGATTTATGATCATTTACATTTCAAGGTTACATATGATCCTCAAATGAGGATGCTGCTAGGAATCCAGCAAAACAGTAGAATACATATATATAATATAAGCTTACCCCAGCCAGCCGCGGGGAAACTCTCCTCTGCAATTGTGAAAGGAGGAAGAAATACATTTAGATAAGATTTCACTTGTAAGTACTTTGCATAATTTAAACACATATATTTCACAGCAGAAGGCTTGTCCAATCAACATGACAAAAAACCAAAATGAAGCTATCAATGTATAGGAGATGTGTTTAAAACTCTAGCAATAACAAAGCATTTATATTATGATAAAAATAAACCGATATTATTTTTACAAACCTCTGTGGCGACTGTCTGGAAGAAAAATAACAGAAAAAGAAAAATATTAGCATTTTATTCTCGACATCCCAAACCGAACTACAGTCCCCAAATAAACAACAAGAACAATAACAAACAAATAACCTAAAGAAACATAGTTTGGACGTCTCAAAAAAACTTCCCGCTCATATTTGAATTCAAATGTGTTCTGGTTGTCATTTGGCGCGCTGACAGCTTCCTTTGTTTTGCATCAACGCGCGCCGACACACAGCTGTTGGGAAACTGATGAGATTACTACATTACTAATCTGTAGCCACGTATTAAAGGACGGCAAACGGAAACCCGCAGAGTATAACAAATAAAATAAAAACATTTACATTTCACTAATAAAACATGTTTTATTACATTTATTTGTATCCAAAAAACGTTGGATATGTTTTCAGAATACATCACGATCAGTTATCGCAACACGGAAATTAATATCGGCTTCATTTAAAAAGAAAAAAATATTTTAAAAAAGGAGCATTTTTTTTCCTATGGTTACATTTGTAAATGTAATGGTGCGCACTATTTATAGTAACGTCAGCTGACTTGGCCTGACATATTTTAAGACCAATGTTGATTAAATTCAAACTGGCTGAGGAAACGTTAAACCTGTTTTGAATCAACGTGCATTAGCCGAATTGTTCCTATTTCAAAACAGAGAAAAATAAATAAATGTGGCCACCCCTCCCCCCACTGCTTCCTCAAATTTGCGAGTTGTGCTTTTAGTTATGTGTTTATTGCTAGATTAATCGCACACCAGTCGGTAATTAACTCGATCACGAGTTATGCATTCGTTTTGACCGGGTAGCTGCACATAAACAGCTTCAAGATTTCCCCCCAAAACCTGCAGCCAGAGACGGAAAAGACAGGCAGCGCAATGTCAACGCCTGCACATGTCCAAGCGTTGGCGCAGAGCGTGAAAACACCAATATGTACGTTTATAAGTCGTGTGCAACTAATACACATATATTTTACGTTACTATTTTGATTTTAAACTTTTTATTTTTCGAAAAATGGGGGATTGCCCGCCCAGATCTCTGCTCTGTGGCCGCCATGGCTGCAGCGTTTGTTAGTGATGATGACGCTCCTCTGATGCAGATAATGTCAAACGCAGCCTAACGGTAACCTCTACATAAGACGAGCATAGTGCAACGAGTTAAAACAAAATGCATTTAAAAATCTTACCTTTGCCTTTCCCATGTTGCTGATAGGATTGAACAGGAAGCTCACAAAAATAGAACCTTAAAGACGGGTGTTTTTTTCGGAGGGATAACACACAACAACCGAGTAGTCGCTGTGTAAAATGGCGAATGTATAATGCAAACGAATGTTTTTGTAGTTTATACCCTGAAATATAAGAACGAAACCGGTTAGAACCAGTTTTGTGTTTCCCTCTCTGTCATTGGATGCAAATAGGTCACGTGTTCTGAGGAACCTCCCATTTGTTAAAGAGGCAGGACCGCAGACTGGAAAATACCAGTCAGTGGCGGGAGGGGGCGCTGAATAAAATCAAGGTTTCTTCTTCCTTGCCGCTCAAATTTGCAAATCAATGAAGTGAGAACAATTGCACGGCACATTCTTCACTAGAAAGTGGATTAAGAATATGTCATTACATTTGGATGTTATAAAATGACTAATATAAGTAGGAGATAAAATTGAACATTGAGAATTCATACTTAGTCTTGTGTTTTTCCCAGATTAACAAACAAAGGGATTGTCTCTCTTTACTTGTGTTAGATTTCTGACTGGAAGTCGTAGTTTACCCACCTTTTATATGTATTACAACATTACGACTATTAGCTAAATACTAATAGATATTTGAATTGAACAAAAAACAATGTACAACCATATTGATACACCCAAAACATGTCATGATTCAGATGTTATATCCGTTAGTGGAGATGTCCAATATTTATCCATAATTCACCAGTAGAAATTAGAGAATTAGTTGACCTGCGTTATTGAATCTAAATCAAATCTCCATGGAAAGCGTTTCAGGGGGAAACAACTAACTGTATTTAGAGATGCTTTGTATGGGCAGCATGGACCTTACAATTGTAATTATTGTCTGCTGTCAAGTTAACATATACCGTGTCAATATATTAAAAGTAAAGAGCCAGATTAGAGCAATAATTGGGGGCACTGTTCAAAGACAGATATGTAATTGTAAAAGGACCTGAGTCGTGCATCAGTTATTCATTTCTGATACAGTAATCACTTTATTTATTCTGTTGAAGAAAGCTGGTCAAAATCTAGTTATTGTCTTTGACATCACACTCAACAATCAACAATTTGTTTGGGCCACAACATTAAATGCAGAGCTCTGCTGTATTGTATTATATTTATCTGGACGGCTTGTTAGGAACCACCATACAGGTTCCCTGTTTTTCTCTCAAACTCACAGTCAATAGCATGCATTTGGCAGAACATTTTCACAATAACCTAACTACATCTTGACCAGACATTTCCACATATTAGACTCTTAAATATTATTTTTTCTACAGCCCCATAGGGGTAAAATTGCCCTCTCTTCTTGTACAAATCACAAATTCAACCATTCCCATTTAGTGTTCGCTCTTTAGTTTTCCACAGCAGCTCTTTCTGGAAGAGGAGAGGAGAGCTTTCATCCCCACTTCAACATGGGGGTTGGTTCTTTGCAGCCTCTAGGCTACCACGGCGTCGCTCAATAAGTCAGTATAGTAGGAGTCTCTCCTGTTCTGCAGCGCTTCCAGGAAGTCGTGAATCCGTTCTTCCCGGCAGGTGGCGTAGTGCTGTAGTGCCTCTTGTCTTCTGCGGGCGTCAGCAGGCTTTCCGTTCCCATGATGCTGCAGGTGCTCCGCCACACAGGCGCGGTCCGCCTCCAGCTGCACGAAGGCCTGGTGCTCTCGATGGAGGTCTCTGGCTTTCTAAAATACAACACACATTTAAAGTACAATTAGTAATAGGCTGCGTCTCACTTCTCGTTGATTTGTCTGCGCCATCTTGAGTAGCGTCCCAGTGGCCTTATTTGTGCCAGAGGAGCGAGGAGCGATAACGAAGGAGCGATAATCGAGGGACCACCAGACCATCCTCAGATGAAATCCTCAGATACTCGCCCCGCCCCCTTACTGTGTATCGCTCACTGATTGGAAGATGCAGTGCATGCACTGATCTGTTGCTTCTTGACATGAGAGCAGTTTCCCAGCGGAGTGAAAATAACACATGAAACTCACTTGAGTCACTCCTCAGTTTGTACTGTGTTTTGTTTCAATTAATGTATCATTCAGTCACAAATATGTGATATATCTGAACAACAAAGTGGTCAAAAATCATTTTATTCATTTATTGGAAAAAAATTCACGATCGCTTTTTTCGTTTATAAATTTTAAGAATGGCGTTTATCTTTTTTGAGAATGAGTTCTTATTTTATTTTATTTATTTGGGTCTACAACAGATGATACAAATGTTTATGTCAGTAAATGTGTACTAACAGAGGCGGGGGTGTTTGTGAAAAAAACGGGGACAGAGCTGGCTGCTGCCAGACGATCAGCTGTGCGGAGTCATCACAAACGGACGTCGCTTCACGTGACGCTCCGGAGGAAAGGACATCCCATTGCTCTTAAATCTAATTTCCCTGTTTCTCGTGGTTTCCTTGCGTCTCTCCATGCTTCCCTGGTGGGAGGGACTAAACGCAGGGAAACGACGCAAGTGAGGGAAGCAAGGATTCCATTTAACCCAAGTGAGACGCAGCCATAGATAGGTAGGAATTGCTTTAATAACCCTTTTAATAATGTGTCCTTTTTTTGTTTTGGTGACTGCAATGTTGATGTATATTGAAATCAGAATTCTACACAATACTCTATGTTCATGTAACACAAACCTTTTACCCAACTAATACTGGCACAAGATATTTACGTTAACAAAATATACTATTTATTTATAACCTAAGCTTCAATCATAAAGACAAGGTTATAAGGTTATCGCATGCATAACACATGCAAGGGTTTAGTATTACATTTCATTTTAATTTAAACATTTATTTCATGTAATTTGTGTTTTTCACCACAATAACAGGTTGAGTGAAATTCTGTATTTTGACAAAAACATATAATCATCTTTTAATACAATAATCCTGTGGTAAATGTAATACTTTTGCTAAACATCTGACTTTTGTCAACATTGATTTAAGCAGTTACACAGCTTATACTTTCAAAACATAGGATTAATATCTGAAGCTACTATTGTATTAAAGCCGGTTAGGTTGAATACCAATCCTAGATCTCAATATCTGATAGTGAACGTTTTATTGGAGAGTTTTCAAATCACATGTGGCAGCTTACTAAGATCCAATAGGCTGTGTGACTGTAAGCTTTAAAACTGGCTGCCTTCAATTGTAAACACTGCAACATTGTTAAACGTGGCCAGGGCAAACATAGACAAATAAAAAACATGTGCTGTGTGCATTGCCAACTGGAAGCTGAGGTCACACACAGATCCGTATATACACTGATTGGAAAGACACCTACAGTTGAGGCCTAAATGATTACTGATGACTGGTGAATGTATGATTATATCAAGTTTTATCAATGCTGGAAACATTGGGAAGAATTTTAGGAAAATATTCCATAACTCCTGGGGGGCTAATAATTTAGGCCTCAACTGTATCATCATATTTGCTTTATAAAACTGTAGTTGATTCTTTAAAAAAACACTCTAAAGCTTATTTGCTGATAGGTCACTGTATTCTGTGATGTTCTTAATATCCCACCAATATCCCTGTAGTGTAAACTGTGTCTCAGTATAAGCCTTACCTGAATGGATGTGTGGTTTAATTGATATTGGAGAATGGCTTCACACAGGTTCCAGAACGAGTACTCTGGCCACAGAACTGACTGAAACACCAGACAGGAGTGGGAAGTCTGCAGAGCGGAAGAGAAAACAAAATACATATAAGTTTGAGAGGAAAAGCAACAATATCACCAAATCTTTCTAAATCTATTTGGTTGGTGATTCATATCTTAGATTGCAACCCATTTGATGGATAATGATTTGTTGTTACACGCATGAAAAAAGATAAATCATGTATGCATTTTGTGTAAAAATAAATAACCTGTGTTTTTTCTTTGAGCTAAACATATATGATTGATATTAAAGAGAAATACAAAAGTAATCACTTGTTTTTGTTTACCGTCTTATTGAGGGAAGGCAGCTGAGTGGCCGAGGCTTCATACAGTAACACAACCCTTAAAGGTCCCCTGTTATACTGTTTTTCATCAATATATTATAGGTCTCAGATATATATACAAAACATGTCTCTGAAGTGTTTGGCTGAAATACCAAACAGATCATTGCAGCATCCCATAATCCCCTCTGTTTCAGTCCTGTTTCAAAAGTGCTGATTCTCTGTCTGTTACTTTAGATCAGGGGTGGGGAACCTTTTTCCTCTCAAAGGCCATTTCAATTTTTTCAACATCCTTCGAGGGCCGTACAAATTATTGACCTCTGCTTAAAAATACTAAAATCACAGCCCATTCATTTCGCCTTTCTTTCATGCTGTGCAAAGAAAAAGCAACCTCTTAATCCAGATATCTTACCATGACTCGTGTATGCATGCGCGTGCACGGTTGTGGCATGACCACCAAAACAGAAAGATATTGGACACAAGATGTGTACAAATGTATTTAGTTTCCTATCCATGTGAACATGATTTAAGTGGGGGGAGGAACTAACCTCCTCTAGGGGGGGTCCGGGGGGCATGCTCCCCCGGGAAGAGTTAAAAGTATCAATCTGGTGCACTTTGAGAGCAACATTAGGAGATCTATGGAAACATCTCTCAACACCCAGATGAAACAGAACTGTAAGCAGATTTTATTTTCGGATATTTAACAAATCACTCCCCTTTCAAACTGTATTCTTGTTTATTAATAACAACTTTTTTTTACTGTCATATAGTATTTTATACCCGTTTACTTTAGTCTCTTATTTTTGTATAACTATAATGGTCATATAAAGATGTGCCTTTACCTCACTGGTTGTAGAAAAAGCTTCTTATATTCGTTAGCATAGCTAGCTATCCAGATGCTAATAACAACAAAGTTATTGACTGTATGATCAGTATGATAGATGAACAGATCGCCACTGGGCTTTCAACTAAAGACACAGGCACGCAAAAACTGCGGCATGTCTGGCTCCTTATGGATACTGCAATTTTCGAAGTGGCGTTCTGGTGCTCCCCGTCAGAACTACACCCCTGTCAGACGAGACATATACCACGTGATGACACGTTAGGCTCGTATTGTGTCCAAGGACCCTGACCTTGGCCAGGAAAAACAGGCACTCGCTTGTTTAATTCTTTTGCGGTCTAGAATCCTTTAATTTTTGCGTGTGTTTATAAATTACCTCGAGGGCCGTACCAAATGGTCTCGCGGTCCGTATACGGCTCGGAGGCCGGAGGTTCCCCACCCCTGCTTTAGATGAAAATAAGGAGCCACTCCCCACGCCCCTCTGAGAGATATTTGGTTAAAAAGAACACAATGGTGCTCTAGGAGGAGATACAGGTGAGGTGGGGGGGTTACCTTGGTTGCTGATTGGCTAATGGTTACACGAGCCAAAAAATCGTTATGACATCACAAAGTGGCCAAAATCTGATCAGCTCATTTTCAGACAGGTTTTTATATAAATGGATCAGAACAAAAAGTGAGCGAATCCTTTTTCCTGAAACTTCCAGAATCTCTTTACAAAGAGGGGACACGTGTTTATGTATAAAAGACATGAAAAAGTGGATTTTGCATAATAGGTCCCCTTTAAATCTAAAATGCATTACAAATTTAAATAGTTTTGGTAAAAATGTTATATAATGGCTGCTGCATTAAAGATAAAAGGCAGTTAGAGACAAGATGTGACTACCTAAATGCTGAAACCACCAAAAAGTCTTCATGATAAAACTAAAAGACTACTTGTAACATGTGTGCTTTGCTGTAAAGGCTCCATCCAACACATATTCTATCCCTCCATTTAATTTAGTTGGCATTGAAAACCAGTGTCGGAACTAACGCGTTACAAAGTAACGCGTTACTGTAACGCCGTTATTTTTTGGCAGTAACTAGTACTCTAACGCATTACTTTGTAAATTCAGTAACTCAGTTAGCGTTACTACATGGTGCGTTACTCCGTTAGTTTTTTTTTTATATAGTCAACAGCCAGGCGAACAGAGATGAGAACTGTACTTAAGTACAGTACTTGAGTAAATGTACTTCCTGTGTCACATGCGGAGACGCGCTGTGGGCGTGTTTGTGTTGTTTACTAACAAGACTATCATGGCGGCGGCGGAGCTCAAGTCTAGTTTCTCCACCTGGAGATATTCTCACTATTTCACTTTTGTCGAGCACAAAGAAAAGAACGTTTTAGTTAAATGTAAGTTGTGTCTTGGCGGGTCAAAGAGCCTATCTACTGCCCAAACCAGTAATTCAAATCTCTTAAAACATCTGCAAAAACAACATGCTGGGACGAAGCTAGTAGCTAAGACCACAGAGACTCAGCCGACGCCACTCCACCTCCACCTAAGCAACAGCGGCTGGATTTTAACCAAGGGACTATAGAACACATGCAGGCTATTGCTACAGTGGAGTCACCCGCTTTCAGGGAGCTAGTTAGCATGATAGCATGTCCGGGCGGAACACGGCATATGGGACGGAAAACTTTGTCCAACTACCTGGAGAAAGAATATACAAAAATGGAAAGCCAGCTAATATCGATGCAATCCAGATTGCATATAATGCATGTCAAGTTGATCAACAGATTGTATTATTCTCCAATGCAATAACAGTACTGAAAGGAAGGCTATCCTTATAGCCTTCATTTCAGTACTGTTATTGCATTGGATAATAATAAATGGGAGCCCTTTGTGTAAGTAACTAAAACGTTACTTTTCACAGTAACGCATTACTTTTGGGTGTAAGTAACTAGTAAAGTAACTGAGTTACTTTTGAAATGAAGTAACTAGTAATGGTAACTAGTTACTGGTTTTCAGTAACTAGCACAACACTGTTGAAGACACATTCTGGTTTTTAGATTAAAAAAAAGCCTTGTTGAGATACTTTGTTCAACACATCCTAAAGTACAAGTCTAACAGCCAGTGTTATAGTAACTGTGCTCTCAACATTTGCCATTCTTCCTAAAAGGGAACAACTATCCTCATCCTTTATTTGTCCATTTAGTCATTCTCCTCCTCACCTGCCAGAGAAGGAAGTCGCTGAGTCGCACTTCCCCAGAGGTGCGGATGAGCAGGTCAGGATTTGGAGAATTATTGCTGTACAAACACTCACTCAGCAACGCCTCTGACACATCACTGACAGAAGGACACAAACACAGCTGGTTACAGCATCTTTTTATATTCCGTGTCACATTATAGATGTTTGCAGGATGCCGACAAGATCAACTCAGTATTGACTTGGACATGTTTTCTTTACCTTGCTTTGATCTGGCCCTGCTCCACCCCCCAAGCCATTTCTCTGACTGCATTAGTGATTTCATATCTGGACGTGTATGCAAAGCACACATTCAGGAAACATCTGCAAAACAAGCGTTTGTACATCTGTGATTATTCATAATGTATAATAAAAATAGAATATAATCATTTAATGTCATTATACATGTACAATGAAAGAATGAAAAGCTTCTCCCTTTTAAAAGGTGCCATCAAAACAAAAACATCACAACATACGACAACAAATATACGCAGCATACATACTTAGGTAAGAATAAAGTGCAGTTATTATTTCCAGGGGTATACAACAAAAAATGTAATAAATAATAATAGGTATGTATAATAATGATATATATGTATATATATATATGTATATATATATATATATATATAAACAGTCACGTTGATTGCACATGGAGGATGATTAAGGGGTATGAGTTCAGGAGTTTAGTGCAATGATGGCTCTTGGGAAAAAACTTTCTTTGAGTCGGTTTGTTTTTTATTTTATACACCTGTAGCGCCTCCCGGAGGGCAGCAGGTTGTACAGGAGAAAGCCGGGGTGTGAACTGTCCGTGTGACAATGTTTTCGGCTTTACTGAGGCAGCGGGCGGTGTAAATGTCCATCAGGGAGGGGAGAGGGCAGCCACAATCTGTTTATGTCATAATGCCTAGTGTGGTGGTTAGGTTGAGCCACTAATTCACTAATTGTCAGGGCAATTGAAGCAGAGGTGCAAATGGACAAAACACATACTTATTGTGCGTCTTGGTTGAGACCACAGCTTTGGCAATAAGCTGCTGAAGGTCGAGAGGCAGCATATTCAAGTCGCCCAGCACCCGGATACACACGCCATGTTTCTCCAGATTCTCCCTACAAGAGACAAGAGGTATGTTATGGTAGTAGAAAAAGCAAGGAAAGCATGAAGAAGAACAGGGATAAACAAGAAGACTACTCCATTAAGGCAAGACTGATAAAACGTGTCTCTCTGCTAGGGATGGGTACCGAGCCCCGGTATTAAAGGGGCCCCGGGGCTGAATTATTAAAGACCGTGGTACCGTTAAGCTCCGACGTTATCAGTCTTTTTATCGGTACTGGAGACATTTAAAACATATATGTCATGTGTATTATTGCTACATAAACATTATATTGCAGTCTTATGCTGCGTTCACACCGGACGCGATGCGATGTTTGGGGGTGGCGCGATTACATGTAAAGTCAATGCAGAGACATGGACAGACGCGAATTCCCTCCGACGGCGAGCATGAAGCGGTGCGAATCACGCGAATGAAGGGGAGAACGCGAGAGTTCCATTTTTTCAACTCGAGCGTCAAATTCACGTGGCGCGTTCTCGCGAAAGCCAATCAGCGTTGGGATTCCCTCTGACGTCCTGCTGTTGATCAGTTGTAAAGATGGAAGAGATGATCGTTGTGGCTGTGAGTGGGTTCCCGGAGATATACGATACACTTCCACAGAAGGTACAAAGCAGCAATAGTTGTTCCTCCATAGTCAAGGACAGAAATAACCAAAACGATCTTGCATAGAAGTGTAAACAACCTCAACTGTCCGTCAACGGCATGGTGCGTCAACGGTATGTCTGTTTTGAATGACGCGATAAAACAAACTGCAAGCCGCGGTGAAACTTGAGCGATTGGAGTGATGCGAATATTCGCATCGCGTCGCCAACTCCGTTTCGAACATGCAAAAAGACAATGCTCGTTGCCAAAAGTGCAATAAGAGTTTAGCATGTAAGGGCAGTAACACAAGCAATTTGTCTAAACATCTTGCAAAAGTGCACCACATTCACATGGAGAAATGCACCGGGTTCGACTGCACGATTTGTTAAAGGTCCCATGTCATGCTTTTCTGGTTATTATCCATCCCCTTTGTTATGTAGCTTTTTATGCATGTAAACGGTCTGCAGTCACAAACCCTCAAAGTACACCCTGTTGCGAGTAAAACTCTAACACAGAAAATACCTGTCTGTGCTGCCCCAGAACGCCTCGTTGGAGATTTCTCTTTTTCCATTGTTTACTTCTTGGGTATAGTGACGTATTTCGGGTATAGTGACGTTACGTTACGGCCGCGGAGCCGTTACGTTTGGACAAATCCGCGGACTTCCTCACACACACACACTTGGCGGGACGTTGCGAGGCTCACTGCTGCGAGGAGCGGGACCCTGAGCTGGCTCACTGGTGTGGGGTCGGCGAGACAGCGAGACACCGCGGAACTCAGCCTGGGCACACACACAAACTCACAGCCAGGGTGTGTGTGTGTGTGTGTTTCGGGCTGGGTTTCGCGGTGTCTCGCTGTCTCTCAGACGGCCACTGGGCTCACAGGGAGGGGGGTAAGAGCTCCAACAAGCCGTTTAGAACAGAGAGTGAATACACATATTTTACAGAGATGCTGAATGAGAAACCAATGTGAGTTTGGAAAATTGCACAATATAAATGTATTTTAGTAGACCTCAACAATGGAATTATGATCAGTAGAAATAGCCATGACATGGGACCTTTAAAACACTGTTGTTTCTTTTGATGTGAAATATTATTTATTTAGTTTAGTTAATATACCTTTTTTTTTCAAAAGAACCGATACAAATACCGTTAAAGAACCGGATCGATAAGCGGTATCGATAAAAGTAGTAGTACCGTTAAAACCTTAACGATAACCATCCCTACTCTCTGTATCTCCCTCATAGGGCAGTTTCCCTGAAGCAGTCTGTGGTCCAATATTCTGTGTGATGCTGGTTTGTCAAGTGTTGGTGTTCAACACAACAACCCCTCACTCCTTGCATCAATAGCCACCCTCATGACAATTTATTCTCCGCAGCTTTACTGCCGTAAGGAATTTTTTAATTAAGCGGTGAAGTCTGCAAGCAAGAGGCAACCACTAAAGCTGAGTATGCCTGTCATACCAGATATATGTATATAGGCTCCACTACAAGCCAACCCTCTGATGAAACTGAGATTTGAAAATATTTCAATTGGTGATCTTCATTTTCTGGTACCACTATGTCTTTTGGAAAACTTTTGCAAACTCAACCATAAGTGATCTATATAGACAAAAAGCAAGATTGAATAACAAAAAGATTTAGAAAACACCTAGGGAAAAGCCTGGCATTCCAAAAAAAATCAAAAAAGGATCACATGTCAGCATCTAGTGGTCATTTGTGGAACTGCAGATTGACACACCTACACTTTGACTGTGGTATTTCAATTGTTTAAATACATTTCTTAGCTTGAGAATTAGAGGTTAAATCAAGTAGATATTCTTGTGTATTGTAGGGAAGTCAGCATCAGACAAAAAAGCATTGGAAATAACTAATACTGTGCACTCCTATTTATAAGTCAGTTTTTCTTCCTCGTTGTCATTCTGGCATTAGTCAACAGTATATATATTACCCAATGTACAATGCAGTGGTAGGTGTTTATATGTTATTGTATTCAACTGTTGCTCTATGTAGGTGCAGCAGAAATATTCAATATTTCCTCAGTGTGGATGTGTTTGAATGCAACTATGAACTATGCTGATTCAAAAGGATTGACCAAGTGTTTTTGAATCAATATTGTGAAATGTTGCCTCTTAATTTCCATCTGAAGCCCAGGTCATTTTGTAAAGACTTATACCGAGATATGTGCATTTTAATCTTTAAAGACATTGCAATTACTTTAACCACAATGTAATAACTGCATTTGGTTTGCACCAACTTTATTTTAGGGAAGCTGGGAATCATGTGAGGTATAAAATGTGACTTGTCCCTCAAACAACAGCTGGGTAAAAAAGCTTTTTTTAATCCTTAACTTGAAACTCACCGTTCCTCCAACAGCTTTTCAAATTTCTGCTTGGCCAGCACCATGAGCCCATCCACCTCGTTTTGACTGCGCTTGAAGTTCTCAATGCTGAAGGCGTACACTGTAACCTCTTGGATGTTCAGATGCTTACACCAACGTAATGTCTGTGATTTAGGGGACAAAGGGTTACACATAGATGAGCATCTTATTTAATGCCCAGGTAACATGTGTTTGAAAAGGCAAGCTTTAATCACAAAGAAATCTCACCTCTGCCAGCTTGTTGAAGCCCTGCATGTGCCCTTCTTGGCGCTCCATTTGTTTCTTACGTGCAAAGCGGCGGTTACCATCCATGATGAAGGCAACATGTTTAGGCATGGGTCCAGCCTGGGAGTCAACAGAGAGTTGTGTTATACTGATACAGTTGTATAGAGATGAAATAAACAGACAAATATCTAGCAACAACTGCGATAACATGTCGAATATAGTTTGGTTTCAGTTTCTTAATGAGGAACATTTCTCTGACAACTGATTCATCATTAACATTTAATTCGAGTCACAGAGCTAAACCTCCATATTATTGAAAATGGCATAACTTGAGAATGACTTGGGAAGAAACTGAACTGAACTAACACTGATATAGATGCTTTTCCAGAATCCTTCAATACTTTTGTAATGATCTTATTTCCAAAAGAACATCATGTCTGCAGAATGATAACAATTCAGAAAACACTACACTATAGATGATCTCCTTGTTTGTTTTTATATCGTACAGATTGAAGAAGGAGATCAGATTTGTACCTACTACGTAGTTCAGGCACTACTACAATGATAGTTTCGATAAGATTGACAACAACGATTATAAATATCTAGGCTTACCTTCAGGATGTTGGCGGATATCTTTTCAATCAGGTTTAATTCACCTTCCCTTATCCACGACATTTTCGGGCTTTAAACGGTCTAAAAAAACAGTTGATTCTTCAGTTGGTTTTTGAATGTCAAACATAAAACCCAAGCTACAATAAACAAGAAAATGTGTACAATTACTGTTCATACGGAATGTCGGAATCTGAATGTCTTATTATGTGTCATTTTAATGAAATATGTATTTGTTTCATGCAGTCAGTGATTGATTTGTCCGATAACTGCCAGCCCCACACACGAGACGTGCACTGAACTTAACGGCTGTGAGACTAAAAGCAAATACTGAGTTACACGTCGTGCCGAAAAAAAACATCGTTTTAACAGAAACGGCTTCGGTCATTGAAACTATTGAATCATACTCTGTGTTATTCGCAAAATCACAATCATTTCATCACATCTCACAGACCTTCCAACTCACTGCTTTAGCGATGACGACCACTTCCGCATTGGAGTAAAGTGACGTAGGCGCGTGCTTACGACTTCCGGCCAGACGTTGGTAGATTTTCAAATTCTGTGGATATAGTCAACGTCCGTTCTGTGCACTGATATAACAGTTTCTCGATATAAACTGATATAAAAGCTAAAATACCGCACTATAAAAAAATAAAGTAGAAGTATCTCATTACAAGAAATGTACATTTGTAATACAGTAAGTATCAAAAGTACTCACAATAAATATAAATGGTCCTGTGAGTCTTCTATAATAATTATGTATTAGGCCTATATCATTGCATTATGAATACTGTTTTTTTATGGATGCTTCTTGATTTAATAATGTATGTTTAGACACAAGGACATTTTGTTTTAACAGTGACTCTAAACAAATTAATTAATGTTAAGAAAAAATATATTATTGGTTTTAATTGGCTTCTCATGCTTATGGTTTGTTACTGTGGTGCCACGTTGATGCGGTTATTGATACAAATGCCTAAACTTTGTTTTGACGTTGACCCAACTCTTTTTTCCCCAAAAAATACAACTAACTGTACAGAGAAAAGTATATTTTTCCTCCACATTACATTCAAAATATTTAGAAATGTCCTGATCCTAAAATAACTTTGGCTACATTTTCATCTTAAATAGGCCTAATCCTGAAGATCCACTTAAAAAAAAGTTCTAGTACAGGCTTATAAAAAGTGAAAAAACAAATGACAGATGGTTTATTTTTCTAGCACATGAAAGAACATTGTAACCTCTTGGATGTACACACACGTAATGTATGACTGTGGTTTAGGCTTTAGGGGACAAAGGGTTAGACATAGATGAGCATATTTTTTAATGCCCAGGTTACATGTGCTTAAAAAGAAGCTTTGATCACAAAGAAATCTCAAATTTTTTCTAGCGCATGAAAATTCATTGATATTATCAATTCACATATGTTATTGTCCAATGCATAGTGCAACAGTGCAGTTATTGAAAGGAAAATCTTAAGTCCCAGGCTTCTTCCACAATGCAATATAAATAAAGACATAACCAATAAAGAAATAGGGCAAGTAGAAACAAACAGAAATAAAATAGGGCAAGACAATGTTGAAAGTGACCAATGTGCAGGTAAACTATAATATAACATAGACTAAGATTAGCACACAATTGAATGTAAATACTGTACAGGAATAAAATACTGATTTTTGTAGTAATAAATACACACGAATTCTAAACCTCGCAAGTGTATGTATTGCACATACATTTGGTGAAAACTTTCAAAGGACATCTCTTGAAACACTTGTCCATACATTTGCATATCTGCAGTGTAGTTCCTCCTTCAACCTCTGGGGTGTGACAGCAAGTTCATCAACAGTTCCTTTAGCACTTTCTAATGGCAAAGAAGAAGTTTCAGATTTTTTGGGGGGGGTGAGGGGCTGGCCTTTTTTTGTTCTGCTGAAGAATCCTGCTTGAACGGTGAGCAGGAGCACAACAGACGTACCAGAGACCTCAGAGACGCGGACTGTCGGACTCATCACAGCGCCGGGAGGGAGCGCACTGTGGAGGGAGAAGAGCGGGCATCAGTCACACTGTATCGCCCTCCGGTTCTACCGTATCTACCTGCAGGGTCACCGGGCAGACGAGCCAGCTATTCCCGTTAGCCTCAACTCCTCTGCGGGCCTGGGGGGTTCTGGTAGTGGCAGGGGGCGGGGGTACACCGAGAGGGGAAGAGACTACACGCCGAGAGGAGGGGGCTGGAAGTCTGAGACGCTTCCAGCCTGAAGGGGCCGGTGGTTTGGCCACAGCACCCCCGGACAAACTAGCTTGTACCCGTGCTGCTAAGTGAATGGGATGGAGCCGGGACCGTCTGGCGATGGTAGGTTCATCTTTTCACTTTAACATAGTATCAATCCTGGCGTTAGAATTATGTCTGGAGACTGCATTTGGGAAAACCGTAGCCTGGCCTTAGCATCAGGGTGATGTAGAAGGAGACAACCCCGTCTGTTGAGAAAGTGTGAGATGGAGGTGGCTCTCCTGCAGACTGCATGCACACCACTGTGTGGAGAAGGATATTTTTAGCCAGATTTTAAGCTACAGACATGCATTTTGGAGCGCTGACAGTATCCTCAGCCATGCATGGGGCCATGGAGGTCGTGGGAATCGGGGTGAGGAGGGATGAGGTGAAGCCCGCCTTCCAGCAGCAGCGCATCAGCAGCAGCATCTGGCTGCACCCAGCCTCCCCTTCACTGACAGTTTAGCTTAGCTTGTCTTAAGACTGTTTAACACATATGCATTACATTCGCACATTAGAGACACAGGCCTAAGATCTGCAGAGAAAAATGCATTATTTATCTATCATGCACCAAAAAGAATCCTAAATTGTGATATCTGCCTATGGAGTTGACATGATCTGTTTTTAGTATAACAGAAGCATGTGCAGTGCATTGCAGTTGTATGTGAGGGTTTCACTCTGCATTGCATGCTTTAGATTTACAGCTAGTGCTGATCAGTGCCAGTGATGATCTTTATTTAGCAGGTTTCTTGTATGACACTGAGGTGTGGAGGCAGCCAATTAAAACATAAAGTAGGTAGTCTATATGCCAAGGTATAAAGTCCTCCTATTGTGGAAAACGTTGAACCCTGGAGTTTACTAATGAATGGGAAGGTTTTTATATTGAGAGTTATCTGAACACAACATATATTTTTCATTTGTACATTTATCCAGAGATAGAAATGACATTGTGAAACCAAATGCTAACCCTTAAGTCCACTTGAAGAGTTTTTATATTTTAGGATGGGGGAAGGGTCCCCCGGGGCCCCTCATCTCAAAGTCTGCTTTTGTGTGAAGTGTGATTATTCAATTGCTATTTTCAGAGATTGAGCTGATGGTCAACAGCCAATTATGAAGAGAGCCAAATGGTTTGGCCAAAACAATTGATGCATAATTGTCTGTTCTCTTTTGTTTATGTACTTGGCCTGTTGGGATCTTGTGACAAGGGTAGGGGTGTCCTGGTAATAATTAGCTACTGTGTCCAGTTTGGAGATTTTAATGTCATTGTAATATTATCTTTGAATGTCAGTGTGTACTTGTATACTTGTATTTAGACAGACAAGTATATCACACTTTCAAACTGCTAAAGCCATACAAGTCTAGACTGAAATATTTAAAAGCTAAATACTGATCCTTTAATTGTAAAAATGTTACTGTTTATTATCTATGTTTTAAAATGAGCTTAGAGTTTGTTGTATGCAGATTTCACCAAAGGATCTTTTAAAACATACACATTTACCATTATGAACCAAAATAATGTGCACAAATCTACATGTTCCCTAAGTTATGACTATAAAAGTAGTCATTTCCCATGTGACGTGGGCTTATTGCTTGATACGTCACTGTGAAGACAGTTAGTGAGTGTTTTCCTGTTATGATGCAGCACCAAAGTCTGCTTTGAGTCTTAGCGCCCGGGAAAGAGTGCTATTGTCTTGGGATATGTGAAAGCGCTGGCTCCGCTTCTCACCATCTGCCTTCACTGGCACGAGAGCAAAGTGTGTGTCATTGTGTGTGTGCGCGCAACAATCACAACTCACGATGCTCAGATTCACACACACAAATGCTCTCTTACCCAAAGAGTATGTGTGGTCAACACATGTCCAGTGTCTGTGTTTGGGTGTTTGTCACTACACAGACTCACACACTAAGCAGAGCATCTTGCTGTGTTTTATGGCTAATGTTAACCTTCCTGTCAGATTTGAAAAGCTTAGTCAGCATATCATTGAGGGGTTTGTTTGACACAAGGATTTCCCTCGTAGCTTTTTAAAATGGGACTTTTCCAGTCTGGGGTACACAGGCGCCTCGGACTGATTTGGGAACAGTGCAGGACCAAAAGGGGCCGGGCCAAGGTCTCTTCAGCATGACCACAGCGGCACCCTGCCTCCTCCCATCCTCCCATCCTCCCATCCGCCCACACACACACACACACACACACACACACACACACACACACACACACACACACACACACACACACACACACACACACACACACACACACACACACACACACACACACACACACACACACACACACACACACACACACACACACACACACACACACACACACACACACACACACACACACACACACACACACACCACACACACACACACACACACACACACACACACACACACACACACACACAGGTCCCCTGATATCCATGACAATGCTGTGTTGCCGAGGTGTCTCCATGGTGAGGCTGGGAATGTAGAGGGGGCCCCCTGCGTTTGTGTGTGTGAGGGAGGGTGATCACCGTAGCAAGGGCGCTCCCTCTGTCGTACCCCCCTGAATTTGTGTGTGTGTGTGTTATGGAGGAGCAGGGCAGCTGGGGTCTTTGTTGTGGTGGAGAAGGGCTGTTCTCTGGGGACCCCAAGGTTAAGGCCCTGGGCCCCTTTCAGGCAGGAGTCACAGCTAACCTCACACTCTGCACCCAGTCTAGGACCGCCTTGTTTTTAAGATTGGGAGTGACCATGCTAGTATGGATGCTGAAAAACCCTTCAACGAGATTAAGGTTGTTAGCTGCAACAAACCACTGAAAGTTATAAAAAGGTTTGTCAGGTATTTTGAAAAGTGTAAAAATATTGTATGTTCCCTACAGCTGGGATGTGTTCAGAACAAACCTGAAGAATAAAGATCAATGTGTAAAATCATCCAAATCCTGCTTTGCTACTTTGCTACACTATTAAACAAAGAGTCTAATTTATTTCCCTTTTTTCTCCCGCCATAATTTATATTTCTACCACCCCCCCCCCTTCTCATCATTGTCCATCCTCATCTGATCTAATCTGGTTAATCCTCCTCCTATTCCTTATGCCTTTTTTTAATACTCTCCTCAATCAACTTTGACCTTACTTCTTATATAACATACCTCTCTCCTTTCCCCCTGTCCCATATATACATGTTACTTCTTAACTGTTTCATTCTCATTGTTTATCTCTGTCATGATCTTTCCCTCTCCTTCATCCTGTTCCTGCCACTCTCTCCTGTGTCCACCTC